CGTAATCCTCTAGCTTTCTTTTGTTTGCCAAAATCTCCTTCAAAAATTTTGCATAGCTAGGCATTTGCGCTAAAGCATCTGCAAAAGGAATATTAATGTGCAATTTTTTAAAAACATCAAGAAATTTAGAAAATTGCTTATCTATTTTGTGCTGCTGGAGTCGCTGAAGGAATGGAACTGGTGGCACGTATGGCTTGGGATTATCTGAAAAAAGTTTGCTCTTTCCTATCTCCTTTGGTTGTTTCTTGACCTCTTCTTCTTTGTCTCTGGAAATCTCTTGTTTGGTAGCTTCTTCACCCACTTGTTTACCACTTCTCAGGGTTATAGCTTTTACATTTTCAATTGGATTTTTCTCTGTGTTACTAGGCAAAGAACCCCGTTGTCTCCCAGACATCATGTTTGCTAACTGCCCACTTGCATCTCCAGATTTCTAATTGAAGCCTATTGGTTCTGAAATCTCACATCTGTGCTCTTGATGAAGTCCTGAGTAGTGTTTGCAAGTTTTGTGACTATATCTTCTAGATTGGACTTTGTCTCTTCTGGTTGTTTGAATCCCGGTGGCAGTCTTGTCACATTTTGATTATTCCATGAAAAATTTGGATGATTGCGCCATCCCGAATTGTATGTGTTGGAGTAGGGATTATTCTGTGATATGTTAAAATTCCCAACAAAGTTAGCATTTTCATTAGATTGAGCAAAAGTGTTACCTACCTGACATTCTGTGCTAACATGTCCTCCACCACAAAAATCGCATGTCATATTCTGAATTTTCATGCCTGAAACACTCATATTATCTATCTTTTTGTTGAGTGCTTCAATTTGCGCAGCAATTGCCGTGAAAGCATCCACCTCACGAACTCCGCTAGCTTTTCGCACTAGTATCCTCCCAGTAGGCCACTGATAACTATTGGATGCCATCTTCTCTAATAAGTTGTAGGCTTCTTCTGGTGTTTTATTATTCAGAGTTCCCCCTGCAGATGCATCAATCATAGAACGGAGATTTGTACTACACCCATTATAAAAAGTTTGTACCTGCATCCATACGGGTAATCCATGATGTGGGCATCTCCTAAGAAACTCCTTGAATCTTTCCTATGCTTCATACAATGATTCATTATCCATCTGCATAAAATTAGTAATATCGTTATGCATTTTTGCAGATTTTGCAGGTGGAAAGAACTTACCAAGAAATTTTTGGGCCATATCATTCCATGTAGTGATTGATCCCGCAGGAAGAGAAGAGAGCCAACCTTTAGCTTTGTCTCTAAGAGAGAAAGTAAATAATCTCAATCTAATAGCATCATCTGAAACTCCATTATATTTAATTGTGTCACAGATTTCAAGAAAAGCATCGATGTGAGCGTTTGGATCATCGCTTGGTAGCCCACTAAATTGCACTGATTGTTGAAGCATTTGAATCAGTGATGGCTTGATCTCAAAGTTGATTGCTTGAATTGCAGGTCTCCTGATACTTGATGTGGTGCCCTCAACTGTTGGCGCAGCATAATCTTTCAAGAGTCTACGTTGATTTCTACCATCATCAACTCCCTCCATCTTTTTAATGTGATTTCTCTGTTCTCTCAGTCGCCTTTTAAATGTGCGTTCGATTTCTGGATCAAACTCAGTAAGTTTTCCTTGTTGGCTACGTGTCATACACCAATGTATACTCTGAAAAAAAATAAGATAAAAGCTAGATTAAACTTAGAATTATCCGATATCAATATTAATTGGTATTAAATAAACAATCCTCAGCAACGGCGCCAAAAACTTGTTCGTAAAATTCTGCACGTGTCAACGAACGTGTTGAACAAGTAATACAATGATGAGAAGAGTATCGTTCCACAGAGATTGATGATAATAAACCAATTAAATATTAAAAATAGACTAATTCTAAAATTTATCTAACAGATCAAAATATATTTGAGAACAAATAAAAATTGACAATTTTAAAAAACGAAATTTTATAAACTAAAGGCAGATAATCAATCAGGTAAAATATGTTAGAGCATCCGATTTCATCATAACCATTAGATATGAATTTCGGATCATTATGCATACAAGAACAATATCAAATATGTGATAGCGGAGTTTCCTAGTCTATTTACTATCCTATCTCTAGGTATAGCAAACCTACTCAGTTTATCAATTCACTATATTTCTATGTGAATTTAAATAAACATAAGCGCATTAAAATCTGTGAATATTCCCGGTTTACAATGAATCTTTTGGACGACCTTATCACCGAAAGCTACACAAATAACATGGTATATTTCTATCCACATTTAATTCATGGTTATATATTATAAGGAGCAATTGCATATTATTACTTCTCAGTCTCAAACATGCACATCAGATCATTCAAGTGGTGGCCAATCACTTAAACGCATTAAACACAATAATATATAACTCACATGAATGAAATTACTTGCAAAGCATAAAAAGCATGAAATTCATATCATCATGGTTAGGTTACATCGTAGCTCTAACAAAGAAAATTAGAACATAATATAAGAAGAAACGACAATAGAAATTAAACCGAACATCTTGAATCAAAGAACAAGAATTCTGTCACCACTTTTGTCTTCTCTTCAAAAAACTTGAAAAACTTTCAGAACACTGAAAACAAAAACGATCTAAAAAAGAAAAAACTCCATGTTCCCCCAAGTTATCCTATTTATATGATAACATCTAAGACTCGTCTCACAAGGCAATTGCTTCTTTTTCGCATAAAATTAGGAAATAAATCGCAAAATTCTCAATGTGATATCCACCTTCTAACTCTTCTTTGGGTCGCATATTTCTTTCCTTCTTTTTGCCATATTTTCCTTATTTTCTCCATATCTCAATATTCTGCATAAACAAGGAAAAATTAAGTAAATAAAAGGAAATCCAAATATATTCTAACAAATATTGCATTATTTATTGCCTAGAGTAGATAAAATAACTCTATTTTTATAGAGTTATCAATAGCAAGGAGTTCAAGTAGTTTTGTGCAGAGAACGGAATCATGATAAGAACAGTTTTCAACGGACCATAGCAAAACAGAATTGTTGAGATGATGAACAAAACTCTAAATGAACATGGAAGAAGTAAAATGCAGATTACCCAAAACATTTTAGGCAGATGCAATTAATAACACAACACTATATCTCATCGGTTGAGTTCCACTTAATTTCAAGTTACTAGAAAAATAATAGATTTAAAAGAATGGGGAAAAGAATGTGAATCACTCGCACCTCAAAGTTTTTTTTGTTGTGTTTTATTGTTGCAACCCAAATTTTTCCAACAGGATCGAGGAAAAGGATGGGTTTAGAGGTAGTGCCCAAAGGCGGGTTAACGGTCCTCGATTAGGTGTGGGCTCTCCCAAGCCCATGTCTCGTGCAACATTAGATTTCATTTTTCTAAGTTCAATTTGTCTAAGAGATTTCTAGGAGTCGCTACTAGCCTTTTGGGGTGGGCTAGAAATCAAACAAGACACGGGAGTTTTGTCTCATTTTCTACACAATCGGTGATTTAACTAAGTCTGGGGACTTGATTATGCTAATCGTTTAATTAGCGCCCTTTTAGAACTTATAACTCAGTGGGATTGTTCATCTAAGTGATCACACGTCTTTTTACTAATTTTGATCCTAAAGGTTTTTGAGTCGCTACGTGTTTATGCAAATATTCTTTGTGGGTTTATTATGTTCCTAAGGGTTGTCCTAACCATTATAAAAAGGAACAAAAAACAACCAATTTATTTAAAGTGCGGGAATAAAATATCCAAGTATCGAAAGCTCGAAATAAGAGTGCGGTAATGAAAACCTGATACTAGTCGGGCAAAGAATATTACATCGCATTGTTATAAGCGTTGAGACATGAACCCCCATAAGCTTGACCCGATAGTAAGTCGGACAAAGAATATACATTGCCTTGTTATAAACCTTGGGACATGAACCCCCATAAGCTTGAGATTAGAAACCACTCTTATTCCTAAAAATTTGAGTTAGCTTACGGCAAGCTTAAATTTTACTCATTTTATTCTAAACCAATCTAACAATTATTTAGGAAAATGATCATAAGTCTAATTGATTTTATTTGCTAAGCCAGACTATATCAACTAAAGTCTAAGCTAACTATCCTAATTAACACTAAGTTAGACTAACACCCTAATGCTACCAACCACCATGAACCGCCACCTCCAATGCTTCCGGCTGCCGGTCTCCATCATTGATGTCGCCAATCACTCAATTCAAACATTAGCAAGCTCACACAAATTAATCGACAATCAAGAACCTCGATTTAGGTTCAGTAATTTGATGTTAATCATGCGATTTGATTATCCATCCACCTCATATAGTTAGGAATTGATTAATTAATGGTAAGCGGTAATTAACTTCCACTTGCATATCACAAAGCGGTAGACTAATCACAAAGTGCCTAATTAGTCCCCTTTTCTAAACCACTCGCCGAGGAATTCATGCATCACTAATCAAAATCAAGGCAATCAATCATCCAATCAATCATTGGTAAGGTCATTTAAGCATGCAATTAGACTAATTAGCTTTGATAATCAAGAAATCAATTAGTTGCCCGAATGGGTAACTTCATTGTTTTTCCCTTAAATGACCCTTTGTGTTTCAGTGGCTCAACCTAATCAAAGGATGTTCAATATTTATGAAACACCCATGGATTTGCATCTTATTAAGTCTACTTCAATTCATTGGAAGACAACAATTTGAGTTCAGCTTCACATTTTCTTGATATCACCGAAATACCAGGTCGGTTAGTTTTTATCCCTAAATCAGACCCAGTTCTTTGACAAATCAATTGACCTATCAAACCAAATTACAATTTTATGAAATTTACCTCGTTTTTTTTTTGGTCGAAATAAAGCTGCATTTCATTTAAGTAGGAGAACCAAAAAGACCCATTAAATGGGCTTCAGTACATAAAAGGTCTAAAAGAGTTTGAGGAGGCGAAACAACCCAATTTGAAGGTAGGGAATTGCGTCCGTGGGCTTTAGCGGCCCAGTCCGCAATAAAATTTGCCTCCCTTCTACAGTGTTGGATCCGAATATGAGGAAAACACTCTAACAAAGCAACACATTCGGACAAGAGAGCTCTGACCTCTCAAGGTGTCTGACAGGGACTGTGCAAGGCATTGACCAAAGTAAGATTATCTGACTCCAACACTAGATTCTCCTTTTCTCTCTCACGCTGGAGCAGAAATTTTACGGTTTGTAACAAAGCATGTGTTTCCACTTGTAGGGAGGAAGCCGCACGGACAAAAGAAGAGAATCCATCAACAAGCCTTCCCTGGTGATCACGACACACGCAAGCTACTACTCCTTCTTCCCTTCCCGGTGTGTAGGCTCCATCAATATTTATTTTAAGATTCCCGAGCGTCGGTGGACACCAAATCTGGGATGAGCTGGTTGGGTTTTGGAGGGTTTTCGCGTTGTGCAGGCCCCAAGTGCTAATGATTCTCGAACTTGCAAGAGCAGTTTCCACAGTAAAAGCCGGATCTGGGCGTTGTTTTCTGAATACGAAATGGTTCCGCGCCTTCCATATCTGCCAAAGGACCGAGGCTATGACTTCCAGATCAAGTGAGTTGTCCCGATTTGCTGTCCGATTTGCTAACCAAGCTTCGATTCTTGATAAACCTTGTGATGGAATATGTATGCCAAGTTGTGGGTGTGACCAAACTCTGTTTGTCCATGGGCATAACAGGAAAAGGTGTTCGATTGTCTCTGGGACTTCTTCATTGCACAATGTGCAAAACGGATCTGGTACGATTTTTCTTCGATAGAGATTTTCCTTTGTGGGTAAAGCATTTTGGCATAGAGACCACATAAAAATTCTTACTTTAGGAGTAATTTTCAAATTCCAAATCCTTCTCCAAAGGCTACGGGGCACTTGATAGGAAGATGATGCTGAATCATGGCTTTTGTTGTGCTCGGCTGCTTTTATGCTGTTGTATCCATTCTTTACTGAATACTCGCCTGATTGAGTCCCTGTCCATATCAGCTGGTCAGTTGTTATTTGAGGTCTAACTGGGATCGATAGAATTTCATTGACTGTTTGAGCATCAAAGCTATCCTTAAGACGCTGGGTATTCCATGTATTCTCCTCTGAATTAATGAAATCAGCCACCAAGGAAGGTTCACCTCTGGGTGCGGTCCTCCAATTACTCCCCTTCTCAACCATTTGTCTTCTCTAACTCTTATTTTCTTTCCATCCCCCATGACCACCGCACCCGATGAGCAATTGAGTCTCTTCCCATTAGTAAGCTTTGCCACCCCCACGAAGAACGTGTGCCTTTTTCCGCATGCCAAAAGTCTCTATGTGGAAAGTAGATTCCTTTTAGTATCTGGCTCCAAAGAGATGACGAGTTCTGAGAGAGTCTCCAGGCCTGTTTACCCAGCATTGCTTTGTTTAAGACAATTAAGTCTTTGAAGCCTAACCCTCCCATGTCTTTCCTAATTTTGAGAATTTTCCATCTTTTCCAATGCATGCCTGGTTTAGCTACAGTGTTCTTCCACCAAAAGGCAGCAATTCTGTGCTCAATTGTCTTACAAATGGACACTTGGGACTTTAAAAATAGACATTGCATGCTTGTGGAAGAGCACTGAACCACGTTTAATAAGAATTTCTTTTCCCGCTTTGGACATTAAATTCTCCTTCCATCCTTCCAGTTTAGTATTCACTCTCCCCAAGATCCATGCGAACATTTCTTTTTTAGAACATCCCCAATCCGATGGAATTCCTAAATATTTAGCTGTTTTATCAATCACAGGAACTCTCAGCTCTCTAGCTAGATTTACTTTTAGGCTTTGAGGGCAATCTCTACTGAAAAATATTCCAGACTTGTTGAGATTAATCGTTTGTCCTGAAGCTAGACAATACTGGTTTAGAATGTTAGCCAGATTCTGGCATTCCTTTAACTTCCCGTCTAAAAAGAAGATAGAATCATCTGCATAGAATAAGTGGGAAAGAGTGGGACACCACCTGTTTAGTTTGATGCCTTTGATGTTGCCAATCTCCACGGCTTTCTTGATAAGCGTAGATAGAACATTTGCCACCAAGATGAAGAGATAAGGGGATAGCGGGTCTCCTTGTCTAATACCCCTTGACGGTTGAAAGTACTGAGAAGGTTGTCCGTTAAATTTCACACTAAAGGAAACAGTAGATACGCATTGCATCACCCATTGTACCCACTTATGGTGGAATCCCATTTTGATTAGGCAGGCCTCCAAAAAATCCCACTCTATTCGATCATAGGCTTTTTGCATATCCAACTTCAATATGGCCTGAAATTTCTTCTTTCGCCTTCTAACTCTAAGTTGATGGAGTACCTCTTGCACAACCAGGATGTTGTCTTGAATTTGTCTCCCACTCACGAATGCACTTTGCTCCATTGCAATTAGTTCGGGTAACCAAGTCTTCAATCGGTTAGCTATCACCTTAGCGATAATTTTGTATACAAAGTTGCATAGGCTAATAGGGCGAAACTGTTCTAGTCTTTCTGGGTTAGGGTTTTTGGGTATGAGGGAAATCACGGTTTTGTTAAAGTCTGGTTGCATCACCCCGGATACAAAAAAATCTCTCACTGCTTTGAAAATATCGCACTTCAAAATTTCCCAATGGTGTTGATAAAATAGCCCATTAAGACCATCCGGCCCGGGTGCTTTTGAGGCCCCTAGCTGGAAAACTACTCCCTTTACTTCCTCTAAAGTAACCTCAGCTACTAACTGGTCATTTATTTCCTTCGACACCACCTGGGGGCACTGATCCAACACGGGCTGGAAGTCTCGAAACCCAACTGATTGATACAAATTTTCAAAATAATCTATGGTCATATTCTTCAGTTGGTCCTGGTCCCTAATCCAATCTCCATCTGAGTTCTGCAGCATTTTGATTCTGTTTCTTAGCCTTCGTTGGATAGTGGTCGGATGGAAGAATTTAGTATTTTTATCACCCCATTGAAGCCAGTTAATTCTGGATCTCATTCTCCAGTACATTTCCTCTTGCTGCCACAATTTTCCAATCTCCCATTGTAAAAGACATACTCGCTCCCTATCATAGAAGTCACATTCTTGTTTATAAGTTGTTGAAGTTCTTGTTTCAAATAATTGATCTTTTGATGCCCATTGGAGAACCTCTTCCCGCTCCATTTGGCAAGTGCAAGAGTCACTGCACGTAATTTCCTGGAAAGATCTGTCTCTTTTAAAAGAGGGGACTCCCAAGAATAAGTAATCACATCTCGGCACTCCACATCTTCCAGCCAAAATGCTTCAAACTTAAATTCCTTTTTTCGTTTCACTCGATCTGCCTCCAAAGATGATAGAATTGGACTGTGGTCTGATCCAATAGCAGGTAGTGCAAAAACTTTAGCTTCTGGGAACAGTAATTGCCATTCCACTGTACAAACCACCCTATCCAGCCTTTCCTTCACAAAATCATCGCCTTCCCTATTGTTTGCCCAAGTGAATGCGCAACCCTTACTGTCCAAGTCCATTAAGGAACAGTCATTTAGAAGCTCTTGAAAAGCATTCATTCTATAATTTTCAGCTATCCTCTTACCTACTTTCTCCCAATAATGAAGTACTTCGTTGAAATCCCCAATACATACCCATGGAAGAGAATTTGAGGAGCTAATCTGTCTTAGTTCCTCCCATGGTTGTAATCTTTTTTGGTACACAGTCGACGCATGAAGGCACGTGATGCGCATCTTTTTGCCACTATCCATCTCCTCGTAAATCGTATCTATAAACTCCTCAGCCATACGTTCAATATTCAAAGATACCCTATCATTCCATAACACCGCTAGCCCCCCTGCTAAGCCTATGGGATCCACTACACAACAATAGGGGAACTTCAACCTCTTCTTTATTCTTTGAATCACCATCTCCTGGTTCTTTGTTTCCATTAAGAACACTACGTTGGGCTTTTCTTGAACCACAAGGGCTCTTAGTGCTTGGACTGTCAGGGGATTGCCCAGACCCTGACAGTTCCAACTAATGAGCGTCATTTGTCACTTGGTGGCTTATTAGGGCTAGCCACCAAAGTCCATCTTCCTGGCCCCTCCACCTCAAAAATCGGGGTGTCTATCATTTGAGTCTCATCAATTTCTCCCTGCAAACTTCCTCTCAGTCCATAGGGATTATAGCGTTTAATCTTTTTGCTAGATGATGCCATTGAATCCATACCTATAAGCTTCAGTTTTTTAACCTTTGCCGAACCCTCTTTCTTTTCCTGGCTTCTCTGGTTCTGGACCAATACTGGTGACGAGGGTATAGTACCCCCGTATCCTGTCGTCTCTCTATCTTGGTGACGGTTACACAGGACACTTGATGCAACATCCACCATCTCTGCTTCCGTCACCTCCACAATTTCTTTGTCTTTGTTATTGCAAGTTGGCTCAAAAGGAACCAACTGAGTTGAGATCTCTAGTGTCTCGGGGATAAGTTCATCCTCGTCATCAACTTTCTCTTGTTTCCCATAAAAGGCCTTCCAAAACGGGCTATGTTCCCGAACTTCAGCTCGCAGCCATTGACCAAAGCACATCTCCTCTTTTCTTTCCAGTTTCTCTTCATCAAAAGGGATCTCTTTGCAGTACATTGCATAGTGTCCCAATTTCCCACATGAGTAACAGAAATGTGATAGTCGTTCATACCGAAAATCCAACCACATGTACTTCCCTTCCAACTTGATCAGCTTGCCAGATTTGAGTGGTTCCTGTAGGTTAATTTCTACTCTTGCTTTCCCTGCTTTTAGTGAGACACCATCTTTAGTTTCCACTCTAGCTTCTGTAACTTTTCCCAACTCTTGGACAGCTCTACAAATAGCCTTCTCAGTATCCCTTTCCAAGGGCAAACCATACACGTGGACCCAAAACGCACAGGTTGTGAAATCATAACATTGAAGGGGGGTATTGGGAATCCAAGGTTTCAGAATCACCAGATGATTTGAAAAGAGCCAAGGGCTATTCTCCAAAACCTTATTTTTCTCCTCTTCCTTTCTAAATTTAAACACATACAAGCCAGACTCACGTTGTGTGATATCAACATTTTCAACTTTCCAAGCCCTTTTCATCGTATTCTGAAAGGCTTGAAAATTGATGGAAGGGTTGGACATGAACTTACCCACTAAAATTAGTTGGCATTCCTCAAGTTTTTCCTTCGGCACTGCATCCTCCCATTCTTCAATCGTCTCTTCTGACCATAGTCTACCTAACCTTTTGCAGAGCGAGGCCAATCGAGCATTTCCTTCCTCAGTTTCTTCCATGGTGACTAGAAGAGAGATGCTTTAGTAACAGGAACCCTAGGGGAAGAAATTGCGTACTGCTGCATGTAAAAATCAGATTAAGGAGAGTGGGAAAGAGGCCTCTGGACCCGATGGAGCATTGAAGGGAAATCAGATTTCATGGGTAGGGTTTATGAAAAGGTGACAGCAAATTTAGGGTTTAATGCCAAATTGCAAACAGAAAACGAAACTCTAGGTGGTGAGTAATTCTAGACTAAAATATTCTAGGGAAAAGGTCGAGATTGCAATGGATAATGGACAGTTTTTGTGGAAGTGGTGATCTATTTGGGATGGAAATGTTGAAAATCGTGCTTGCTTCATCTTCTGTGGGCATGGAGGTAGAGAAGACTCTACATAGTTGAGAGAGTTTCGAGCAAGGTGTTCTTGGTTACTCCGCCCAGTTTCTGGATGGAAATGTTGAAAATCGTGCTTGCTTCATCTTCTGTGGGCTGAGAAAAGTCCAAAGCAAACTGTAAGATGGGAAGAGGGGAACAACTGGGAAAAGATAGGGTTTATGCGAAAGGAACTACCATGGAGGTAGAGGAGACTCTACATAGTTGAGAGAGAAAAACTTCGTCCTCTACATGGTAGAGGAGACTCTGGTCCGATTGAAATTTACCTCGTTGGACAGCTATGAATGTCACCTAAAACTTTGTAGTTCATGAGTTTTCAATATTTTATTGTTAAGACCTCCTAAATCCCAAAATACCGAGACATGCTCAATCAAACTCCTAATTCCAGATTTAACTTCAGTTCAGCACTTTGTCTAATTTCAACTTCAACTAGATCAATTCATCTGAACAAGCACACTGACTCTCTGAATTCCAAAAACATAAAACCTCATAACATGCATATTATCAATCGATGACTGCTGTCCTAGTTCCTAAACTGATTCAATTGGCTTCAAATCACCTTCGCAAAATCACGACCTGCAAGCAATTTCATTTTTAATGATTTCTAATTATGATCGAAGTATCTTCAACAAATGCCATTACTTATTTACAAAAGAAACATGTCAAATAAATAATGCACCATATCATGTGTAATCGAAACCACACCCAAATAAGTATGAAATTAGCATATCTCATGATTATAACAGCGAAGTCAACGAAATCCAGAACAAAATCAGAACATTAAAGGCCGAAATTCATGATTGTCTAGTAACTAGTGTGCTTGAAACATATCCTCTTGCAAGTGCATATGAGCTCACGTGATCAAGATGAGAACAAATTGAAGTCAAATGAAGATGATCAATGCTGGCACATGTTTAATTTCAGGAAATTCAAGCATGACAACATGATTATCACCCTCGAAAATTAACATGGATCCTTCACCTCAACTCATATGACTAAACTAACACATAGACAAGCCTTGGCGATTGTCGTTGGAACAACAAATAGATACGTACATCAAGCATGAACATGAATCCAGCAAATCTAAGTCATGTACAGTAAGAATAGACATATTCAACGAGCCCACAGTGCGGTTATAGAAGATTTCTCCATTAATCACCTAAACGATTATGATACTTAACACTTTGAACTGATGCCAAAGTCAATAGAAGTGATTGTATAGACAAAAAAAAATAGAAGTTATTGTACCTATAAAAGTTGTCTAGTAAAGGTTAAAATTAGGGAAAATGACACAAAACAGTCCCTAAACTTTGGCCCAATGTGCAATGTGACCCCTGAACTTTTAATTTGTTCAATATGGTCTATGGACTTTAACCCAATGTGCAATGTGATCCCTAAACTTTTAATTTGTTCAATGTTGTCATTGAATTTTTTGTACATGTTCAATTTAGTCCTTGAAACTAGGGGAGAGCATATCGGACTGACCGAACAGGGAACCGCTCGAATCGGCCCGAACCGGCCAGTTCTAGGCAATTCCAAGGGGGTCCCAGTCTAATCCTAGGTTCCTATTTTTGGAACCGGTGACCGGTCGGTCCGGTTCCCGGTTCTAGAGTAGAAACCGGACTGACTATATATATTTTTAATTTTTTTTATATATGAAGAAACTCCAATTTTATTTCAGATATGTCACTCCTCGGATAATTTGAGTGTCAATGGGTTCGTTTGAAGCTTTCTGCAACTGCAAAATTCAGGCTTTGTGAGGAAGAGAAAGCATGCATCTCTCTTTTCCCCTCATAATCATCACTTAAATGTCTATATATACATGCGAAAAATAAAAGACGAGACAGAAAAGTGTTCTGCCTTTCAGTTGTCAAGAGGCTCTTTTATATCGTGGAAAAGGTGGACGCTGACGGTGGGAAGAGTGAAAGATTTTCTACCTTGCATGTGCAATTGGGAATAGCTAGGCTTGTTTGAACACAATTATTAAAAAGCATTTGCAGAAATGCAAGACCACGAACTATATCGATGTCCAGAAGGCAGAATGGTTTGCTGAAACCTATTGAAATTTGCAGTTGCAGAAAAAGTTGAACCGGACTGGACCAAACCTGTCGACAGGTCCGGTCCAGTTCCTGGTCCCGACAGGTCTTGTTCGGTTCCTGGTCCTAGGACTAGAGGACCAGTCGGTCTAGTCCTCAGTCCTAGAAACTGGGAACCTGTCCTCCAGGTTCGGTTCCCAGTTCTGGGGTGGGACTGGATCGGGAACTGATCACTCCTACCTTGAACTATATGAAAATGTTCAATGTGGTCTTTCCATTAATTCAAGTTTAGGGACATTGATCATTTTCATATAGTTCTAGGACTACATTGAATATGTACTAAAAATATATGGACTACATTGAACAAATTAAAAGTTTATGGACACATTGAACATTAGGTTAACATTCATGGACTACATTGAATAAATTAAAAGTTCAGGAACCACATTACATATTAGGTCAAAGTTTAGGGACTATTTGTGTCATTATCCCTTAAAATTACTGGGTTTTGGAATTATTGTATGGATACCTCTAGTGTTATCTCACAACATTTTATTAACTATGTGATCCCCCAAATTCTGCCATATAAGGTATACAATTTTCATAACGGTGCAATTGACCCCGCGATTCAAAACGTGGGGGCGTCAGAGTGATTGATCCTTGCATTAATCGTACAATAGGCAAAATATAACACGAAAGCAATCTCGTATATTTAGAGAGCACCAACTGCAATTTTTTTAGAGATTAGGATATCTAAACATACAAGAGAGTAGACAACAAATAATTACATTCATTTATTTCTCTTGGCAAACAAAGATTGAACTATTGATTAAGGATAAACATCTCCATGTTATGATATCGTCCCCGGTAGCTTACTGCAATGTCACAGTGATCCCGTAAAGTAATCACCTGGGTAAATTATACAAGGAAAATTCTTCCTACACAACTTTGTGGTGAGAAAAGATTAACTCTTATAAAGTAGATGCTTCTTTCTGCCTTGGACTTTGGCCAAACTTATATTAAAGAGGTTGCCCAACAGATGGAGACATAATTCTTTCTTCTGATTTTGAAATTAAAGTTCAAACTAGAAATTACCATTAGCAGCATCTTTTAGAAATTAAAACTGTTGCCGAAGTAAGCGATCGAATAATAAAATAGACAGAAGAAAAAAATAAATCAGACACCAGATTTACGTGATTCGGACGCAGTGACCTACATCCACGGGGAGAGTAGTTCGAAATTTCACTATAAATCAAGTAATACGGCAGAGATTACAACCACACTCAAGTTACTCAAACACTCTTAGTATTTTCCAAGCCCTAATTACACTCAATAACTTACATAGTGTTTAGCCTCATAATTTCTCACGAAATAATTTCTCAATCTCACGAAGGAATTACACAAATCTTATCACAAGATTTTAGCTATCAAACACTGTACCCCAGTGGCCACCCTTCTCACTCGAGAAGGGGGAGGCGGGGAGTTCGAATCCCCACCTTCGCAGGGGGGTAGGGGTGAGGCAATGTAGTTTAACATGTGGGTTTCGACGCCCACTCCCTGCAAGAGGCGGGGCACAAGTCTGAGTGTGTATCGTGAGTGAGAGATAGAGTAAGACCGATAAAAAAATAACTGACTAATCAGGATGCAAGTCTTCATGATTCTTTGACAATTGTGATTAGAACTTTGACAATTGGACGACCCAAATCTGAACGATCGCGGCTCACACTGCAATTTTACATGCAATCAAGGCACCCAAAAGAGAATATATATATATATATATACACATATATATATGTATATGCCACCCGCCAGGGGATGTGGTAATTTGTCTCGGTCAAAGAAGTCAACGTCGAATTTGGCAGAGAAAGAAATTTGTTGTTTTCTTGACCGACCTCCCTACGGAGAAGGAAACTTGCATATATTGCTTACGCACAATACTTTTTGAACAAACATCCAAGTTTTCACACTTTCCTTCTTTTCTTTTCAGGTTGAGATGTTCCAAAACTTTTATCCTGGATCGGATTTCGTTCATGAGCTCAAATTTGATATATATTTTAATAATCTCAACCTTGGCTTGATGTTAGAGCCAAGTAACAATTGCTTTGATAGAACTTCGCTCTTACTCTCCCATAGCCCCTCATGGGCTCAACCACCACAGACGTCTTCTAAGTCCAAGCCTCGCTTGAATTTCGCCATAACTGTGGATCTCATCAGAACACCAATTCCACAAGCACCTTTAACTGCTCCACGAGAATTTTCTGACACAACCTCTTTTACCACAGATAAAGCAAACTGTCGTTGCATCGATATCTATGAGGAGATAGAATATGTACCTTGTCAATTTTAGCAGTTACAGCAACTATTGGATCTACAGGCTTCACCTCGCTACAAGCACTATTTGTGTCAATTACTTTGTCAGTACTCGCTACCTCAGGAATTTCTGGTTGCAACTTCACCTCAAACTGAATACCGTTCAGATTCGTATAAGTATTTCAATAACACTCCTACCTAAAAGTACTGGAGACTGGTCAAATGTAACTTCTCTGCTGACAACAGGTGAATTTAATTTCAGCCACCACAACCGATAATCTCACTCACCATGTGTATAACCTAGGAACATGCACTTTATTGCCCTTTCATTATGCTTACCATCACTAACTCGAACATAACATGGGCAACCAAATATTCTAATAACAGAATAATCAACAACGTTATCTGGCCACACTTCTTCGAGAGTCTAACATCCAATCG